GCCTGTTCATGACTCATTGCTCCTAGCAGTCATTCATCTCCACGGTTGGTTCTCCCCTTTTTGAGGTGGGGTAGGAGAGAGCTACTTGGAAGTTCCCTTTCTTCCTCTAAGTAGTGGAGTACATTCACAAGTATTTTTTGCTGCAGAAGTTCCCTCAGTTTATCTGATATACCAAACATCTAAAAAGGAAAGACCTCTGTTTAAATCTTAGCAGGAAAATTCTACATATTGTATATAAAAATAAGAATAAAATTCGAGTTGTTATTGTGTGAAATGCAAATAAGATCCAATTCTGCCTGATGCAACATATGTCAAAACACAGTAACAAATCATTTAACTCTGTCTGAATGAAAACATAAAACTTATTCCATATGATAAAGAAGTATCTCTATTTACAAATAGTTTACAAAGGCTTTTCCCAGTTCTATTTGTTAGCAAATCCAGTGGTACATATTTCAACTGACGAGGTCATGGTAACTTGGTAAATTTGAGTTTCACTTCTAGGTCTATCAGGATGGTTTATCTCTTCCGACCTTCTCAATGTTGTCACATTTTTTACACTTGTATTATAACGAATAACCACAAAGGAGTAGAAAGTGATATATGGTAGACTGAAACTAAAACAATGGTCTGTGCTTGCTCACATTGTGCTTACAGTAAAGGTAATGTTCTCTTGCTCTGGCCATAGCGTTGTTCTCGCTATAAATCTCCTTAATTCCCTTAGCCGCAAAATTAAATAGTTTAATTGTTAGTATACAAATAGATGGAGAAATTATAGCTATGGGGAAGTAAGATAAGTACAGGAAATAAGCTATATTGCTCAACTCAGGTTTCTGTCAGAGCACATGTTTAACATCTAATTGCATGTAGTACTTTGCTAAGTCCTATATTACATAATTATACAGGTATGCTCCTGGAAACTAGAAGTATGCAGTATAAATCAGAATTTACAAAGTACAATCAAGCACCATATAACAACATTCTAGCCAATGATGAGCCATGCATATGGCGGTGGTCCCATAAAGTTATAATACCATATTTTTACTGTACCTTTCCTATGTTTAGATACATCAATATTTAACACTGTGTTACAATTGCCTGTGGTATTCAGTACAGTAACATGCTGTACAGGTCTGTAGCCTAGGAGCAATAGGCTACACCATATAGCCTAGGTGTGTAGCAGCTTCAAGCATCTAGGTTTGTGTAAGTATGCTCCATGATAGTCACACAATGATGACATTACCTAATGATGTAGCTCCACTGTTAAGCAAGGCGTGACTGTGTGTGTAAAAACTACTGAGAGCAGAGTAAAATATCTCAATTCATTCCAGAGTAAGGTGTTCATAGTATCTATGATTAACAATGTATGCATTTTGGAAGTAGATAGAAGAAAATAGGCCAGGTGCGGTGGCTCATGCCTGTCATCCCAACACTTTGGGAAGCCGAGGTGGGTGGATCACGAGGTCAAGAGATCGAGACCATCCAGGCCAGTATGGCGAAACCTCATCTCTATTAAAAAATATAAAAAAAAAATTAGCTGGGCGTTGTGGCGCGCGGCTGTAGTTCCAGCTACACAGGAGGCTGAGGCAGGAGAATGGCTTGAACCCGGGAGGCGGAGGTTGCAGTGAGCTGAGATCGTGCCATTGCACTCCAGCCTGGAACCTGGTGACAGAGTGAGACTGTCTCAACAAAACAAAACAAAACAAAACAAAACCAAAAAACCAAAAAAAAAAAAAAAACACTCATTTTGGGAATGAAATCAAGTTGTAATTATTGGAAATCTAAGTTGAGCTAGGTTGACAAGAAAATATCAATAATTTTGTGCCAGTTTATTCTGTGAAGAAGATAACACTACTTTTCACTTCTAATGTTGCATTCATTGTCATTGACATAGAAAATATTACTGGCAAAGTTGGAAAGAGTGAACTGGGAATGCTCAGTCTAGTTTTAACTTTCTTACTGAAGCCAAGCTGCTCCCAGCGAACAGGCATTCTTCCACGTGCCCCTACCAGGACAGGCTCTTTTCTTGTCATGTGAGAGGCCGTGGTGAAAGATGGGGCTGTCACCCACCAGCTTTACTTTAGATTGGGCAGCTGAGTCTGCCAGATCCTCTTGTTCAGTTAGCATGGTCGATTTGTCTCAAAATCCTGTGTATGCTGTGTTGTTCAAATTATTCTTTAACAGTAGTAAAAATGACACCTTGGTTTCTTTTTTCTGACTTTTTGTCTTATTCCTTAGTTGACGCAGAATTCACAATGGCAAGATGTGTGCTATTACAGTATTCTTTCATCAGTGGCAGAACAGCTTAGCCATTCATTTTGTTTTGTTTTGTTTGTTGTGTTCCTCTGGTGAGTTTAGAAACCCAAATACCACTTGTAAAATACTTTAAGAAATGTACTATGTAAGAAATGTCCTATAGTATCACCACACCCACAGAGCCCAATTCTCATATTGAACCAATTTTTATCACACTTTGTACAAGGTAGTAAACACATACTTCCTTTTTTTTAATGTTTATTTTTATTTTAAGTTCCAGAGTAAATGTGCAGGATGTACAGGTTTGTTACATAGGTAAACATGTGCCATGGTAGTTTGCTGCACCCATCAACCCATCGTCTCGGTATTAAGCCCAGCATGCATTAGCTATTTTTTCTAATGCTCTCTTTTCCCTCACCCCACTCCCTGACAGGTCTCAGTGTGTGTTGTTCCCCTCCCTCTGTCCCTGTGTTCTTGCTGTTTAGGTTCCACTTATAAGTGAGAACATGTGGTGATTGGTTTTCTGCTCACTGCTTTAGTTTGCTGAGAATAATGACTTCCAGCCTATGTCCCTGCAAAGGACATGATCCTGTTCCTTTTCATGGCTGCATAGTGTTCCACTGGTGTATATCCAATCTATCATTGATGGGCATTTGGCTTGATTCCGTGTCTTTGCTACTATGAATAGTGCTGCAATGAACATATGCATGCATGTATCTTTGCAATAGAAATATTTATATTCCTTTGGGTATATACTCAGTAATAGGTTTGCTGGGTCAAATGGTATTTCTGATTCTAGATCTTTGAAGAATTGCCACACCATCTTCAAATGGTTGAACTAATTTACATTCCAACCAATAGTGTAAACGCATTCCTATTTCTCCACAACCTTGATTTTTTAATAATTGCCATTCTGACTGGCATTGTGGTTTTGATTTGCATGATCAGTGATATTGAGTTCTTTTTCATATTTTTTTGACTTCATAAATGTCTTCTTTTGAGAAGTGTCTGTTCATGTCCTTTGCCCACTTTTTAATGGGGTTGTTTCTTTCTTGTAAATTTTAAACACACACTTCTTAATTCAGCTAATCTTCCATGCATTTCCTTCGCATTATCCATAGTGTTGCTTCTGTATGTCACATTTGATGGATTCCATTCCTGCAGGACAGATTTTAAGTTTGTCTTTCAAATTCACTTTGCAGCAAGAGCCCTTCTTGTTGCATCTCTAGCAGTAGTGGTTGCCAGAAAGAATGTGCAGAGAGAGGCTGCATTTATCATTTCTATTATCAGTAATTTGAGATAGTTTAATGAATTTATTTACCTGCTAAGGCAGGATTGAGAGAAGAACAGAGCAAAAACATAACTTTTCAGATAATGAATGTGGGAAAAGGTCTATAGATAATCAGACCATGAGAACATTTCGTTCACTGCTCAGTGTATTTTGTCCCATTTTATGTCAGCAAAGAGCTACTTGCAGTGACAGAAATAGTTTTTCCCTTGGTTAAAACTTTTTAATTTATTCTGAATGCCAATGCTGGTGTTCCTTAAACCAGTACTGTGAATTTATTTCCATGCATTGAGGTTGATATCACCTTCAGCTCTGTTTTGTCCTCCACTTTCTTCTTTGGATTGCTCTAACACAATACAGTGTTTCTGTTGACTATGGCAGAAAAGCTTCCTTTAGCTTGCTAATTATCATAAGTGGGTTCCAATGAATGTTTTATTCAAGATACTGATTCAACTAGCCGTTTTTAAATATCAATTTCTGAAGGAGATTATTGTACAGTTGATCCTATTTGTTCATAGGGATGACTGAATACCCAGTATATTGCCAGTGCTGAAACTGACTCCTGGGCTGTGTCTACTCAGTTCAACAAATATTCACTGAGTGCTTATTATGTGCCATACACAGTGCTAGGCCAGAAACAAATGCATATTTGCCTTTTTGCCAATCAAGTAAATGGTTACTTTTAAAACAATGTGATTTGTTGACACTAAAAATATTTTCATCTTTTTAGGGTTTTGTTTTCTACTCCATGAAAAGTATAACCAATTGTCATGTTCCTTGTTATTTATTTGAAGAATTTCTTTCAGTCACTGGGTAGAGATCAGTTTCTAAGACTGCCAAGAGGGTTGATGACAAGGAATATTCATGAATGGGCAATTTGGGGATTAAAAGTTTTAGTAAATGATGAAATCATTTTAAATTCACATTTTATTTATTTCAAATAGAAATTACTGATGTAAGATAGAGATTTCTTTGATTGTGTTTTATTTCCAATTGGGTTTCCAGTGTGTGAAATAGAACTACATGTAAATATAGCAAGAAGTGTGTATATATATTTGGTCTGGGCTAAACATTTTGTCTAATGCAGCTGGATACTGACATTAAAAAAAACAAACAAGAAGGAGGCAAATTTAAACCATTCCACTTTTGTGTCTCCACACACACACACACACATGCACACACACACTACAGAATAAGTGTGAAGAAAATAATTATAACAAAGGTGAAAAAGAAATGTAAGTATGAGGAGAAAGGTCAATAAATGTTGCTTTTAAAATATTCTTTATGACTCTAACTACCATAAACTGCTTAAATGTCTGTGTTCAAACACAATATAATTATCTGATAAGAAATGTAAAGCATATTACTTTTTTTTTTTTTTTTTTTTTTGCGATCGCGGTTTATTTCTGATGAGGCTGGGTCTAGGGCAGGGGCTGGGGGGGGCGTGTGGGCGGGGCTAGAACTCCACCCTGCAGGCGCGGAAGGCGTCGTCCCGCACGGACACCGTGCTGCTGCTGCCGCCCAGGACCGTGATGCTCAGCGCCTGGAGCCGCGCGTGCGTGCCTGCGTACCACGTGTGCATGGCCGCCGAGTCGAAGGTGGGGATCAGGGTCGCCTGCAGGTCACGGTCCCACTGCTGCTTGCCGGCCAGCAGCGCATCCAGGACGGCCCGCGTGCCCTCCTCCTCGCGCTGGTCCTGACCACTGACGACGCCGCAGAGCGCGCGCACGCGCTGGAAGAACTCCTCGTCCACCAGGTGGGCGCTGCTTCCGCTGGGCAGGTAGGCCAGGTTCAGGGAGGCCGGGGACTCGGCGGGGGTGGCCGATGGCCCGGGCCGGCTGCTGGCTGACCCCGATGGGCCTCGAGTGGCAGTCCTGGGGGCTGAGGACTTTCTGGACAGGGCTGCCCGGCCTCCCTTCTCACTGGGCTCACTCCAGGCACTGAGTGGCCGGCTGGCCCGGTCCCCACCAGCAAACCCCTTGGTTTTGATAGCAGCCACTGGAGTGGCTTTAGGGGTGGCAGTGCGTGAGGTGGGGCGCGTCAGCTGCTTCCGAGTGCGGCCCACGTTCTCCGTCTGCTTCGCTGTCTTGGGGGGCAGCATCTCCGGGGCATTATCTAATAAGCGCTGTCACTTTTTCATTCTTTTCTAAAAATAGGAGAAATAATTTATCCACGACTTTCTCAACATTTATTTAACATCTACTATGTTTCAGATTCTATGAAAAGTGCTGCAAATACAAAGTAACATCAGGTTTCTAGCCTTGGGGGATACTAGCCCATTTGGAAAGACTTTCATATAAACTCACAAAAGCGTTTTATATAATTTGTGCTATATATGGTTACTAATGGCAATTTAAATTCAATACTTGTATATTTTGCCTTAAAATAATTAAGAAATGATGCATCCAAAACCAGTCAGGAGAAAGTAATTATTAGGAATTTTCTTAATTCTAGTGGACCATAGCATCTTCTCCATGGGGCAATTGTTTCTCTTTAGTTTGGTGTCTCTCAAGATTCCCTAAAATGGTTGAAAATGTATAAATATTTTATTTACACTTCTTTAAATGAGATCTGTGGGGAGTTGTGGCTTTGTAGAAAATTGCAAGTTTATTTTACACTATGATTTTTACTGCTAAAAATAGTCTCCATTTATTGAGCAACATATTATTCCATTTTCATACTGCTATAAAGAACGGCTTGAGACTAGGTAATTTGTAGAGGAAAGAGGTTTAATTGACTCAGTTCAGCATGGCTGAGAAGGCCTCAGAAAACTTATAATCATGGCAGAAGGCAAAGGGGAAGCAAGACACCTTCTTCACAAGGCAGCAGAAAGGAGAAGTGCCATGTGAAGGGGAAGAGCCCCTTATAAAACCATCAGATCTCATGAGAATTCATTCACTATCATTAGAACAGCACAGGGGAAACTGCTCCCATGATTCAATTACCCCTACTTTGTCTCTCTCTTGACACGTCGGGATTATGGGGATTACAATTCAAGATAAGATTTGGGTGGGGACACAAAGCCTCACCATATTAAGCAATTATTATATGAAAGGCTCTATACACACATTATCTTACTTTTTAAAAATTTTTGATAGGTTTTTGAGGACAAGGTGGTGTTTGGTTACATGAATAAGTTCTTTAGTGATGGTTTTAAGATTCTGGTGTACCCATTACTTAAGCAGTGTACACTGTACCCAATGTGTGGTCTTTAATCCCTCACCCCACCCCTGACCCTTTCCTCTAAGTCCCTGAAGGATATTTGATCATTTTTATTCCTTTGCATCCTCATAGCTTAACTCCCACTTATGAGTGGGAACATGCAATGTTGGTTTTTGATTCCTGAGTTACTTCACTTAGAATAATGGTCTCCAATTCTATCTAGGTTGCTGTGAATGTCATTTTGTTCTATTCTATGGCTGAGTAGTATTCCATGGTGTATATATATGTGTGTGTGTGTGTGTGTGTGTGTGTATGTATATATATATATATATATATATATATATATATGCGCCACATTTTCTTTATTCACTCATAGATTGATGGGTTCCATATATTTGCAATGACAAATTATGCTGTTATAAACATGTGTATGCACACATTATCTTATTTAAGCCTCATAGCCACCCTAAAAAGTAGGATATTATAGATGAAATGTGTGAGGCATGAAGAGATTAACTTTTCCAGGACCCTACAACTAGTAAATGATGACATGAGTATTTGAACTAAGGTCCATCTTAGTCTCCGGTCTCTGCTTTTCCCCACCAGCTCGATTGCCTCCCATTTTGTAAAGAATCTTCCATGTGCTTTTTTACATTCCAAGGAATGAATGGCAATAATCCAAATAAAAGGAATGAAATACATAGGTTATATTGATAAGTTAGAAAGTTAGAAACTATTTAAACTGTAGGGAACTATAAAAACATAAATAAGGGAGTATTCATTAATGTTTATCTCTGTGTTACTGATGTTGTTTTATTGAAATACACCTTAATCTCTAGCCCAGTAAAGCAGGAGTTGGACCAGTGGTTCCTTTCTACTTTTAGCAAGATCTTCCCACCCTTGGTTTGAGGAGTACAACGAGGGTAAAAGATTAAAACAAGTATTAGTTCAAAGTGAGAAACCTGATGGGAAACTTCAGTTCTCTGAAACAGATTGTTTCTCATAATAAGGGTTCAGGTTGCACTCAGAGTCCTGCTCTAAAACCTGAAAATGAGTCTGGCTGGTGGGCCTATTTATAAAGTAAAGCTTTTGATACAAATGTATCTTGCAGCACATCTGGTTTGATTTAGCAAAGTCCACAGAAACAGTGCATTTGCCTTAGCAGCCGTATCTCTAGGGGTTTGAGCATACTGAATTATCCATGAATATTATCTAGACCTAAATAATACAATGTTCTTGCCTTTATTAGCTACCTAAATCAGTAGTCATGAGCATTTATTTTTGATGTGTCATGTTACTTTTCCGATGAGTCATGTTACATTACATACTCTTTGGCAGGAAAGAGGCATGTCATTTTGCTAAAATGAGTTGCAGCCGGACATTGAAACAACCCATAAAATAAAGTACCTCTTCTGAAAAATCTCTTAATCAATAGCCCTAAAATATCAAACAGCTATGATGAAAAGTACAGAATGTTCACACTGTAAACGGGCAAACAATTCTCATCCAGTACACTTTTCACTCTGCAGTCTCTCCAATGAGCTGAAAAGGAAAGCCAAGGTTTTAGTTCCTAACACTCTCTTCAAATATATCACTCTATTTTAAAACAATAAATCACCTCCCTGTGCCCAAATGCTAAACAGCATATCATACTGACAAGAACCTGGCTTAGAGTCAGAAAAAATTAGTTTCAAAATCTAGATGGGCCATTTACTAAATCGATGACTTCAGCCAAGTCAGTTGAGTTCTCCCAGCTTCTCTTTCTCATATGGAAATCTTTGTGGAGTTACTGTGTGTTCTGAAAGATATAGCAGAAACAAAATGCCTAGCACAGTGTCTGCGGAGTCAAGGAATTAGTGGGGGCTACTCTGGTATGGTTTCTTGCTACCCTGTCTTTTATAGATATATGAACAGGATGCTTCTCTTCATGTTTTGTGATTATTCAATTCAATCAACAAGCTGTTTACTCTTTTAGAATATCCATCGTGAAATTGTGTGAAAAAGTGGCACAGGCCATAAACTATGAGTCAGAAACTACTAATCCTGTTTGTTCAGAAATAAGTCATTTGATCTCTCTGGAATTCCATTTTCTCTACAGTATGTGGAAATTGAAGTTTATTCTTAAGGTTTGTCCCAGCTCTGACTTGCTATAATTTTACGATTTGAACTTTCAAGACAGACAAAACAAGATCAAAGATAATTTGCGTCCCTGATTACTCCTTTAAATATTAATGTAAGCTGGTTAATGTCTAGTTTGTGAACCAGGCCTATTTAATGAAAGAATCCCACAGTCAGAAAGAAACTTATCCAATCACATGCAGGTCAGGCCCACAAGAAGGGTATAAGTGAGTGGTCAAAGAGAGAGAAAATTCTGTCAGATTTAGTTGTGACTCCTATCAGTAAAGAGAATCTCCTAGGTATGTTGAAAAGGAAAACAAGTTCTTTTGTAGACAAATTGAAATTGAAATTATCTATAATGATGGTTAATTGATTTTTGTGACAAAAGTTTGGTGATATTAACATGAAATGCTAAAAATTAATACTAACAGAAGGTTGCTATTATATTATCATTATAATAGATCATTATAATAAATTGATATAATAAATAGATAAATCTTAGATATTTGATAGCATCAACAGTATTCAATATTGAGTATATTCTATGACTGACATATACACAAAACCCAGTGGTTCTTCTTTATGGTAAAGCATTTCACACAGAAAGTGAACATTGATTTCCTCTGGGTGAAGATTTTGCCTTTAAGAGGAATCACATTTTCTGAAACATTAGCCTTAGATCTACACAATGTTGGGAACCATGAGGGAAAATGCTGCACTGTTTAAAAGCTGTGTGGGTGGTAGGCTTTAGCTCCGTGAGAAATTGGAGGACCTATTTCAGTTTCAGCCTTCTGGGGAGGTGATGACTTGCTAATGGGTACTTACAGTCTTGGTAATAATGTGTGTAGCAGCACATGGGAAGCCTACTTTTATCTGTAAAATAAGAGACAGTAAGAGTATCTATTTCATAGGATTGCTATAAGGATTAAATATCATTTTGCATATAAGTACTCAATAAATGTAAGCTTTTACTAGTAGTAATTATAATATACTACCTCCGAATACTTGGAAACATCCTAGAAATCAAAGTTGCTGAAAGATCTCACATCTAGAAGTTTAAATAAGATATCTTCAACCGTATTAGTGAGGCTTTTTTTTTTTTTTTTTTTTTTTTTTTTTCGTAGATGCTAAACTAAAGCGATAAAGCAATCTGTCCCTGGAGAACATTCTGTGTGTAATTTAGAATTAAGAGCATTCTCAATGTAATATAAGCCTGGCATTTCTTTTTTGAGAACTCATAGATTGGAAAGGGCTGGAATAGGGGCAGATTGTGGTACTTGGAACTATTGAAGAAATGAGTAACATGCACAAATCTCTTAGGTTCCACTGCATGAATTGTAATGCAGGAAAGAGCAATACTGGTTCCCATAGGCCTTCTTGAGTCTAGGACACAGAACCAAGTCAAACCATAATGAGGGGATTATCTAAAGAAGAGGAGATATCCTTTTTCTGCTTCTATGATGCTACCAAAGAAACCAAACCTAACAAAGAAGTAGATATCCTTTCATGTTAAAGGAATATCACCCGTTACAGCAGAGATTCATGTAATGGAAGCATATTTTTTTCTTACATAAGATTTCTGGATAGTTAATTCATCTCTTAGGATTTGCTTCTGGAAATGCAGTTAAAACTAACCATCTGATAGGAAATTATCAAGTATCATGATAAAAAATTTGATTTGCATCTCTCTGAGAGCTGGAAAAGTATGTTTGTAGGATGTTTGTGTCTTAGACAACTATATACTTCAAGAATCTCATCTCTATTTGGTAACAACAGAGATAAAGCCATTATCCACAGTCTGAATGCAGGATCAAACAATGGAAAAGCATTAATAAAATCTCATTT